CACCCAGTTTATAATTCATAATACACAAAAGCTGATACAAAGACACTCCTAGCACTGCAGCAGAAACCTATTGTAGACCAGTATCAAGACAAACACCCCATTGTTCACCCCTACCTTACAATGGTATAATCCATTGTTGGGTGGCTTTGGACAGGGGTGGCTTAGGACAGGGGTGGCTTTATTCCGATTTCCTATAAAGGCACCTGATCAGACCCAGAGACAGAGCCTTGGTGGGGTCTCTAATGTCAATTGTTTAAAACGGATGCGGCATGGTAACTAGAGCATAAATATCTATAAAATATTCGAAAACATATTTAAGGATATTGAACCATACATAATCAAGTCATAGTCCTATATATTTTATCGTCTATAGGTTGGGAATTTTTTAGGAGTCTATTAAACATTGTATTGACATTTTTAAATTCTTGCGGTACACTACGTAGATAGTTATGAAAAGAATTGTAATTTTGTTGAGAATGTCTCGACGTTTCGATTGATTCTCTTGATGACGATTGAATCAACGCAATCGAAACGTCGAAATATTCTCTACAAAACAACCTTTCTGAACTATCTATAGGCCTGCGCGGTGTACCGCAAAACATTTAATATATTTTTGCTTCAACATGAAATCCTCCAAACAATATAATTTTGACAACAATAGAAAAATCAATGACATGATTTCGAATGGTTGAACCAATATTAAAATAGGATTAATCAAGCAAAAACGTGCCTGCCGATATTTCAATTGCTTTAGAAATAGGCCCTCCTTTTAAAAAGTATTTTAGTGCATCGTACCATGAAGCATGTATTATACCTAAAGAAAATAACCTTGATTGCATTGTATATGTGCTTTTCACTGGCTGCTCTTCCTATACCTACGCCACGGGTGTCTATAAAACGAAGACGGAAGACCCCTATTTTTTTGTCTTTTATTTTGATGATAATACGCCAGGCTGTCACAAAATCAAAATTACGAATTTTTTTGGGCTTTTCGTTTTTGGGTCTTCGGTCTTCGTTTACAGATACTCCCTACGTCACTGATGTTTCTTTAAATTTCTATTTAATAAATTGTTTTTTGATCTGTTATGAATTGATAAGCTTAATAACACTTTCCTGTGCACCGGTGGTGTACTCTGAGTAGGTGTCATCATTGTGACTCTGTCATTGTCAGCACTCAAGCAATGAATACATTACCGCAAGGGGATTGAACATCCCAGCCCGTTTCTGTGTCTACTGCCCAAGTACACACATTGCTATCGTGTGGAAATTTACCTTGCAAGACTAAATCCAGTGGTGGAACGATGGGATTTGTCATAAGCTAAAGATAAAAATGAAAAGTGAGTTTACATAATATGATGCCATGCTCGATAAAACCTGTCCTAGTTAAGTTATTCATCATTGCCCAAATATTTGTCGAATAAAAAGTGTGCCACTGATGGAATAAGTGTAGTTCCAAATAAAAGTATTAGTATTATTATATTATTAGAAAAATGGACAATATTTTCATAAACAGGGCAAATAGAAATTATGGACAAGAAGGAGAATTCATTGATGTCTACATAAAACTCAGCAATTTCCTTTTTTTAAATCAGAGTTTATCGAAAGTACTAATTGATGATAATGATAATGATGATGATGTTATAACCAATTGTACTCAAATTGCAGGGTTCGTGATGCCATTGCAGGTTTCTTGATGACATTCATTCATATGATTATAAATTGCCTCCGACGGGATTCGAACCTGCGAATCCCGTCGGAGGCATTTTATTACACAATGGCTTTTATAGGACTTTATTCGTTGAAAAGCCTACGATGTTTGATCATGTCTTTATTTAAACACTGTATATGTACCTTTGACGATTTA